TATGAGCATGCATCAAGAAGTTTTAAAATTAAAGACAAATTTTATAAATTTAAATGACCCTCTCACCCAATATGCTGGTAATTATGTTGCACAGAAAATGTAGCTTTTAATTAAGCCTAGGGAATTAACATGAGGTGCAACTGCAGAGCTAGTGCAATGAATTGGAGTTTGGACTGGTTATCTCATAATTAATAAGCTTCAAATTAACAAAATTAACAAAACCAACAAAAAGTCAAATCAACTTTAACTTGGACACCAAAAATGCTATATAGTGGAAGCTTGTCGAAGCAAATGGAGTACATAACAAAACGCACTAGAAAATTCATAAAATGACACAGGGCAAAGGTGAGCGTGAAGAATTCATCTATTTGCTTCTACACTAAGCAACAAAGAAACGAGTTATTATAGATAAACATAACATATCAAAAACAGTAGTGAACTCTACTAATGCAAAAGTGAAAGATACAAAATTACACGGGGAAGCAAATCAATTAATAATAATCAAGAATCAATGGTTGTGCTTAAAGATGGTATTGACGACTATATATATATATATATATGGACAGATCAAAATGAAAATTTATTGGGGAAGATTCATGAAGATCCAAGGAAGGTGAAGGTGAAGTGAGTGAGGGTACGGAGTGATGAACACAAAAGAAGAAAAGGGAAGCATGCGTCCAAAATCACATCTTTAATCACAAGAAAAGGTGGTGGACATTATGACAAATCAACATCTTATAAACTCTCTGGCAACAATTGAGCTTCAGAGTTCAGACAAATCTACGTACAGCACCATCTCTTGAAAATTACTAATTATTAGGGTTTATGGAATTCAAGATAGATATCATTTGGTAGGATCGAGACAAATTTGAAAAATCAATATTTAAGTGGTTTTCTTGTTAGTTTCTGGAGTTGTTTTGCGTATCGATTCTTTTAGTAAGCGAACTTTATGTGGTCATGATATAGATAGGTAATGTTTCACATTATTGAAAATAGCCTTCCTTCGGTTCTCAAGTTTAGTCCTACCATAATTAATTAATCAAGGTTGGTTTGATAGCATTTTCGTTGCGAGAATTTTACTATTTAAAACTATTATTAAGAATGCATTAATTGTGATGTTTGGAGTTTGGAAAAAAAATAATTGAAATGCATTAATTCTTATATTTTCAAAAATAATTTATATTTTTTAATGAACAAAATAGTGTATATTCATGTATGAAAAAAATACATGGAAGTTTGTCATGGATATTGTGTATCTAGAGTTGCAAATTGGTTTATATCATTATATGTATCTAAACTGTGAGGCTACTAAAGTTTTATTTTATTTGAACAACTGTATGTATACGAAATACTTTTTTTGTTTTTTGGCCGACCATGCAAAATACTTTAGATCGTGTTAGGTACACAAAATTGAATATTACGAAGATGAAAAAGGAATGGTGACTGGGATGAAATTGCAATAAAAATAATCATTGGTGTAGCTTAAAATGGAAAGGTCAGATAGTTTAATGCTGTGATCATAAATACAGGGTAATTAAAATTATAATTCTAGTTGATTACCAAAAAAATACTACTTTCATTTTTTATTATTAGAAAAATTATCATTTTTTACTTTTTTTTATATAAGCAAAATCACCCATTTTAATAAACAGTTATTACACATTTCTAAATCACTCATTATAATTTACATTAATAAAAAATAATTAATACACACTTATGTTAATTAACATAAGGCATTTGAGTCTAATTTTTTTTATTTTTGAGACACAATTATTATAATTAATTAATTTTCTTAAACTGTGTGATATATATTTTTCCTTTTATATATAAAAATGGAGGGAGTATAGTTCTAATCAAGATACATTTTAAGAAAATCACTGAAAATTTTCCCTAAAATATACAAATGACAATGAAGTCCTACAAAATGTCATAATTCTTCTCAAGTTTATAGAGACATTTTTGAGATTAATGATTTTTGGTGCAATGATAAAAAATCTCCAAGTTAAAATAAAAAAATAGCTCTAGCTCTAAAAAAGTAAATATTAGTGATTAAATTAATTTAAATACCGAGTGAAATGAAACAAGCAATTTCCACGATGAAAATTTTTGATTTACTAAAATACAAGTGTTGTAAATATATACAACTACTTTAATTTAAGTAATAACTTCTTTTGTTTTGGTAATACTTGGAATGAGATGAGTAATTATATTTTTTTGTGTAAATTTTTTATTCAATGAAATTCAGTGAGGTAAATATCAGCTACTATTTTAGTTTAAACAACAATCACTTTTCTTCCATCAAAAACATGTAATTATAATTGTTCCTATACAATTTTGTACTTCACTGCAGTTAAATTATTGTAAATATTTATAACTATTTTAATTTAAATAATGACTACTTTTTTTCTAACAATAACTACAATGAAACAAATAATTACAATTTTCTTAATGCAATTTTTTGCTTCATTGAAGAAATTTGCATAGAGAAAGTTTTAATTAGTTGTTCCATTATAGTCATTGCTAAAAAAAAAATCATTGTTTAAACTAAAATAATTGTTATTATTTATTTTTTGAAGCCATAGCTGTTATCTTTTTTATTTTAAGCTAGGAATATTTTAATAATTGCACCAAAAATCATAAATCTCAAAAATATTTTAGAGATTTGAAAAAAATTATAACAATTATAAGACTTTATTATTATATGTATATTTTAAGAGAGTTTTTTTTTTGGTCATTTTTCCATACATTTTTGTCCCGAAAAAATTTCAAAAAAAGTTATGGGTGGGGAGAGTACTTTTGTCGACATAGAGTTGACTGTCATGGAAAAAACAATATCCCACCACTTTCCAGTGATTGTGTATTATATTATTTCATGATTTTTTTCAAGGTGCCATAATTCTTCTGCAAATACTTTTGGGACGAAGACACACTTTAACCGGTTACAGAAAAGGCCAAGCTACATTAATCAAACTTCCTATTATTGTAAACACAAAATAATTAGGGCCTGATTGTCAATCTATTCTTTTTACCATCCCACCGCTGGAAACGAAAGAGCTAACCAAACAAGCCAAGCAACTTCAGCAGATGGATTCTTATCAATTTGTAAACTTTCAAACAGAGCTTAAATCACCCGGCCAAAATCAAATAATTACATCCAGGTTAATCATGCCGCATTTTTAAAACTTTTTTCCTCATCTGTGGCAGAGTGAATCATAAAAAGTGCGATAGGTTTGGAAGTGGGGTAACAACAAAGCGTCAAACAAGTGGATAGCGTTTCGATATCCATGTCATTTCCATCCAGGGCTAATTTGACTTTATACAATCTGTTTGTCAAGCTATTACAAACAATTGTTCTTTTAATCTTCTTCGGATTATTACAAATTGAAAATTCTGGTCAACAATGTTCTGCAACTATATCTTCATAACTTAAATTCTTTGTGATGGAGGCACCACTGGAGCAAAAGTGGGATGTTTTATCATTGCGCGCTCACGAACTATATATAACTAATATGGTAAGACACTAAGAACAATTATTTAATATCAATGCGCATCTATTGTGGGTTAGGCAACCTTTTTTTAATTATAAGTTTCATGTGTTAGTGGAGATACATCAAACAAGTATATACTTGAATACCAAACTTGAAACAAAATTGAGATTTTAAGGGGAAGTTGACAATCTAGATAAGGCATTTACTAAATTAGTCTTGCACTCAGTTTACTAATCTTTAGATTTTTTAAAAAAAGAAAAATTTAATCTAGAGTAAACATTTCAAAAAAAAAATTGACCAAAATGTGACCATTTCAAAATTGAAGTGATCAAAATAAACTGGGCCTCACATTAAGCTCACATCCACAATTCGGCCCTAAAATCAAAACAACGACACAAATTAATTTGACTCCAAAAAGCAAAGGGCAGAGAGAATCTGACATGATTGAGAATGTTGCATCTACAAAAGCGAGCTTCCAGAAAAGGCAGGCAAGCAGGGAAGTTGAAGCAGGGGAAGGAGCTTAACATCCTGTGTGACGTGGAGACAAGTGCGATGATCATCCATGTTGAAGAAAAAGCAGAGGCGTGGCCCTCCACGAATGAAGCTAGAGAAATACTTGTGAGGTTACAGAATAGGAGAGATGAAACGATGCAGGAGGATGGCGAACTGAGAATTTATATGAAGGCGCGCACTAAAAAAATTCAATAAAAATCACTCAGCATCAAATAAGGGCAAAGTAAATATCTATCATACCCTCATGCACCATATCTTTCGAGACGGCAAATGAAATGGTTTTGGCCGGTTATGTGAATGAGCAAGTGAGGGAGGCTCTCAATAACAGGAGGCAAAAGGGCATTGATACGGTGCCTCAAGCCAGTTGGGAAGGAAACAATGATGGAAGTGCAGGAAGTTTTTTTCCACCCGGGAGCTCGAGAATTTAGGTTGGAGGAGATATCCCATCCCCAAAAATAAGTTCGAGAAGCCAATATGAAGCCGGCTTGCGCCGATTTCCAAACATTAATGGAATTATGGAAGCAATGGCGGAAGCTTTGCAAGTTGAGGTGGAGGAAGTAAAAACGTGTTGCCACCAGCAGGTACAGGACTATGGGAATTATGGCGGTGAAGATGATTGTGGTGCCACTTAGCCAGTTGTTGCCCAAAAAATGCCCTAAATCTTTTATCTGGTCAATAACTGATGTTTAGTAATTTTGTGTGCGTACCACAGGCATCCGCCAGACAGTCAAGAATTAATTCTTTTCAAAGCATAGAGATCACAGACGCACGTCTTGCCTCTCCCAACATAATCTTTTCCATACACATACCCATGAATCAACCCCCTGCCAAGAAATTTAAAGAACCATCTGCCTTGTTTGTTTAATATTTATCCTTTACATGATATACATTATTTAATGAACTCAGTTGCTCTTTCAAAACAATTGAGTTTTAACATGATTAATGTACGTGTGAAACAATGTTATCACAATGGCTGCCTATTTATCAAGTCATCAGTCATCTTCAATGCAAGTACCAATGTAAATATGCTTTAATATACAAATTTACAAACCAGGGTTCTCAGTTATCACAACCATATTTCGAATAGATTGGTGCATAATTATAAAAGCCAAAAATGGATGGTGCAAACAAACACATGAATCGCACCATAACAGCATAAATGAAATATACAGATCACTTAGAGAGTATCAAAGAAACTTGTTATACTGGCTAGTGAGGGAATCCCTCAGATTCGAATAAAGCGCATATAGTGAATATTGGCGAAGGTTTTCTACTTCATACCAGGAGTTGAGAACTGAAAGATGTTTATCTGTACCAGAGAACGCCGTTTGTATCCCAAGGCTGCAATCCACGGATCCTCCATGGCTCATGCAACTGGTAGTCTTCAGTGCACAATCTTGATTCCTGAGACAGACAAAGTCGGAAACTCCAGAGCATTTAGCACAACCATCTCTTTTCCAATATAAATTTTCCAGCCTGCCCTTTTTAAACTCAAGGACCTGCAACGCCACATTTCAATTGCTTCAAAATAAGGATAATGGTCTTCAAAAATCATATCGAAAGAAAAAAGACTGAAACGAAATTTTAATATCTCCTTACAAGAGTAAAACTAGTTACAGTATACGTGCTGTTTGCAACAAAAGCAGGAGGAGACCTTGCCGCATATTTTCTACCAGCAAACGCAACCATATAGCCATAGGAGTCCTGGCCACGTCAAAAACTTAAATGAATGCCCAGAGAGACAGAAAAATAGCCATATATAGGCTAATCCACAGAAGAAAGCTGACAGCCCAAAGAGTTCATCAAATAGAAAATATTAGAAGGGTACCGCACCCTACTTATGTAATAAAAAAACTAATCTATCAATAATGTTTGCAAGGAAAGTATAGGCAGCTGGATCAATGCCGTCGATGAGGGCAGGTACAAACATCATTAGTTTTATTGCCGTTAAAGGCCGGATGCGCAAGGTTGCATACTTGCACAAAACACCATAATCAAAGTTCTTTATTGATATCGCCAATAAAGAAGTCGCCATCGATTTCCAAATAACTCGCCTCAGCATCTGTAATCTTACAAAGGCAACAGCAACAACGGCAAATAGCAACGCTGAAAAACTCTACAAAACCCTAAGAAGTAAAATACCGCACTAATTTTCTTCAATCGAATTCAGTCCTGTAAACCTCCAGAGATTTTACTTACAAATTTAGAGAGAGAAAGAGAAGGAACGAACCGCAGTGAAAGAAGAGGAATTGACAGTAAGGAGTGAAATCTCATCGACCTTGGGCCTGAACACAGAGATCTGAGAGTTGGAAGACGAGAGGGCAAGCCTACTATCGCAAGGGGACAACTGAACAGTGTTGTTGTAGAAGAAATTTTCCTTCGATGCGAAAGCAATTCCAAAGCTGAATCCATCAGATCGCTCCACCGTAGAGTCCATGCAAGGAGAATACACTCCATTCGTGTCGCCTGCGTCCACGAACGCCGCCACCATCACGATTATCAACGACGTCGCTATCGCTCTGAGAACCGCCATGGTTTGCAAGGAAGTTGATTAGGCCAAGGGCTGTCACGGCAGAGAGGTCACACGACGCTGAATCGGTTGGCTTGTGCGGGAGGCATTGCCTTCCTTCCCTCCGTTTTTTTTTTTGGGCCTAAATTTGGGCCATGCTGTTCAATCGGTATCAAAGCCGATGTCGTTTATTCCTTTTAGGTCCCACTGCATTGAGCAAACACGTTATGAGTCAGCCCGTAAGCCAGTTTGTGCATAGAACTGAAAATATGAGTCGAATTTTGTAAATTAGCCAATAATCAATCATTAGGGTAAGGTTGGATTGAAAAAAAATTATTCAAATCAAAATAAATTTTTTCTGACTCAGACCATATAACCCATGAACCATATGAGTTAACTCTAATGAGTTAAGGATAGCCCGTTTAACTTATATAAACTATATTAAGCATGATATACTTAATTGTATCAATTTATATATTTTATACAAACATCATAAATTAATATTTTAATATACTTAGAATGAATCATAAAAAATATCAAATTAAAACTTATTGTTTAAGTACATTTTTAAAAAATTCATAAAAATAAAATAAAAAATAAAAAAAATGGGTTGGCGGGTTGGCTCATTTAGCCCGCCAACCCTTAAGGGTTGAGTTAGATTGAGATTTTTTCAACTCATATAAAATCGAGCTGAACCCAACTCAACTCAACTCATATTTCTCTCGATTCATATGGGTTGGGTTGATCCATATTTTCACCTCTACCTGCGAGAATTAACATTTTTGCAGGTTGGGTTGGGCCAACCCGTCAAATAAAACAAGTGAAAAAATCCAATCCAACCCATTTTCTGGTTGGCTGGCCTGCAAAAATTCACTAAAATTTTTCATTTAACAATTTAAAATTTATATAATATAAATGTATACATTTATTTCACATTTTAAGAAAAATTAGCAATTAAAAAACTTGTAAATAAATAAAATAAATATAAAATTCTATCAAGCAAATTCATTTTGCTAGATTTTTACTATTAATCATCTTCTCGTATAGGTGTGTTATCTTTCTTATTGAAAAAAAATTTAAATATAAACCCATAGTATTTTTCTCAATGAATTCATATTTATGATTTCAATCAATAAATTTTATGAGATTAATAAATAATATATATTCAAGATATTTCTACAAAAACTAATAAATCATTGACTTACAAACTATAAGAAAAATTACATTTGCAAAGATTAAGAAAGATTTACAATATCTTTCAAACATAAAGAATATATTTGGGAGTCATAAGTTATATATTTAAAAAATATTATCATTATTGTATATTTATAAAAAAAATAATGTGATTAAAAAATAAAAAAATATTTAAAAAATATGCTAGCCCGCGGGCTAGCCCATAAATTTTGCAAGTTGGACTAACCCAGCTTATTTTAAAAAATGAGTTAATTTGTTTAACTCAACCTGTTAAATTTGATAAGTTAAATGGGTTAACTCATGGACTTAACACATTTCTCAACTTTACTTTGTGCTGGCATTTTGGGGAACTAAATGCTTCAATGCTTTTTTTTTTTTTGTGAAAGCTTTTTTTATTTAAGGTAAAAGGACAAAATATTTATGAAATCATTGGCCAAGAGCATCTGGTAGCTTAAAGTGAGAAAAGGAATAAAAATACACATAACGTTACATAAATTCATGCAAGAGTAACTAATCTGTTAAATCCATCAAATGTATACCACTTAATTGACACTTAGTTGATGTTGACTATTCTTTTCACTAACGTGGACTACAAAAAGAGAAAAAATATCCATAAAATCGTTGGCCAGATGCACCCAGTAACCTGAGTAAGAAAAAGGGTATGAATACCCATAATGTTACTTTAATATGTGCAATAGTGGCCAATCTATCAAAATGGGGGAAGCAATGGTCTAAGGGTAAATGAAATGATTTTTGGTCAAGTCACTTCTCATGATTGGTAAGCATGGATCGCTTAAACATAGCCCTATTTTAACTATAGCCTACGATTTTAATCATAAAGTATAAGGAGGATTAATAAGGATGGTTGGATTGTGTTCTTTTATCCAACGTGTCACATGGTTATTAAGTTTGTGATAAATTGTAATATTTGCTTTTATTATTTTCACATAATTGTTATTATTATGGCAATGTGCATTGTCAAATGATGTGAAAAATGATAATGTAATTGTCTTGTGTATTGAGAAAATTGTATGTTTATGAATATTGATCATGTTATATTGTCAATTAATAAGCAAATACAAAAGATAGACATACTCTGATTACCAAGTGGCTGCACCCGCTCTTCTCTTTTAACATTTTACAAGTTTTTGCTTAGGTATTAACCAAAGGAAAGCTTTCGAGGCTTAGGGATTGACATTCCCACTGTATAGCGTTATTTTAATTAAGTTAATGCGTTATTTAAGATTATATTTGCCAACTAGAATTGCATTCATTTTACTATACTTGCACTAAGTGTTGATAGTGTTAAATTAGCATATTTTAGGTTCTATGTTTTACATATAATGATTGAAATGTTTATACATGGCCAAAATATTAGTGCAAGTAGAATATGCATGATTTGATTCATAGTAAAGCACATTAATGACTTCTAATGTTAATTATCTCCCTTTTTTGTTTGTAAGAATCGAGAGGTTGAGAAGTGAATTTGAGAAATATGTGTTATATGCTTGTGGCGGTGTGTTGCATAGGTAGTCTTGAGTCCACTTAGCATGATCTAGGTGCATTGTAGGCTTTTGGCACTTGGTTGGGGATTCAGATACCCATATTAGAGTTTTAAGTGTGAAATGTGTAGTTTTACAAATGAGTGTCTATCTCTTAATTAAGTAATAAATTAGGACTCAAACCAGTGCTATTGGCTAGAATTTGAAAAGATCTTTATGTAGATACTTAGATAGCTTTGATTGGACGTTAGATGGGGAATTGGGTAAAGCCGAAAGTTGGCCCCAATAGTAGCCATGCTGCAGAATGCATGCAACATGCTGCAACAAGTGGCACAACGAGGCCACATCGCAGCGTGTCTCTCATTATTGAGTTTATTGGTTTTTCAATTGTTTTTATTATTTTGAACCCATAGATTATATCTCATGCTTCCTTAACTCTTTCAAATGTCAAAATAAGTTTGATTAAGCTTCTTCTATCTTGTCTTCATATTAAAAACTTGGAATTTCAATTGTATAAATTTTACAAATTGAATTTTAAAAGATTCTTAGTTGGATAACATAATTGGTTTATCCTGTGAATTATCTATGAGATTATGGTTAAGAGTTGAATTAGTCAGGGCAATCTTACATATTATATCTTAAATGATTGTGCGAATAGTACCGTGGATATTGAACTCCTTAAATGTGTAAAAAAATATATTTAATTTCTAAATTCTAAACACCTAAAATCCCGTCATTAAGTTGAGGAAAACAATCATTATTTTTAAAAGTTAATATGAGTGTCATATCAGCATGTGACTGAGCCCTACAACTATAAAAGTAATAGCCGTTTCCTCCAATTTATTTATTTGTTTTTTATTATAAAAGGCAGTTGTCAACACAATAATAAGTACTAATGTTACAATGTTATTATTTATTTGTTTTTAGTTATTTACTTTACTTTTGTTGCATCACATAAGAGCTTAACTCAAGAGGTGTCAGCAAGTACTTTTATTGTTGATGAGGATATCTTAAAAAAGATATTAGAAAATACTGACCATCTCAATCATGTTCAAGGCATCAGTTTTAGCGTCACGAGGAAAGAATAATTTGGAGAGGGGTTAAAGCACAATAAAAGACTATTTCTTCTACCAAGGTTCAAGAATTAAGGTAAGAGCTAGCAAAATAGAAGTAATAGATACAAATACAATCACAATAAATACGAGAACAATCTGTACTCATTGATATGCTGCTGAATTGGTAAAGATTTGGGCTTCCATTAGGTGACACTAGCCCTAGTGTGAATGATAGCTATACAATCCTATATTAACTCCTACTTGAGGTAATGTTATTTATTTTACTAGCATTATTCATTTTAATGTTATTCATATTATACAATATTTTTTTCTTTTTTTAAGATGAGGTCGATGTTGATTGTTTAGAAGAAGACGATAGTATGATTATATTGGGACCTATGCATAAAGAAGTTATGCAAATTATGCTTCATAATGAGCCTATCCCTGAAAGGACAGTGAATGTTTGTTTGAAAATGGTTAAGAAGCCTTATTATAATCTGACTCACCCTACTAAAAATGCAAAGATGGTAATAGATGCAATTAGAAGCTTTATAGCATGGCCGGTTTGTCTCGTATGTAGTTTAACGCTATCTCCAAAGTTATAGTAATTAAATTCATAACAGAAATTTAACTTTCCTCTTGCATGCATTTATAGTTGATCTCTAATTACCTATATGTGAAAAAACTAGCACATAGGAAAGAAAGCACTAAAGGCTAAGAAAGTATCGGAGCCCATGAAAGCATAAATGAATAAGTAAAAAAAGGAAAATGATAAGAACTCTGCCAATAAATTTAAGGAGTCCATCATATTTCCCTATAAGGCACCAAAGGTCTCCTTTAAGATCATTCGCCTAAAGCCTATCAATCAACACCTAAGCGTGTATTAGTCACACCCGACATGTATTAGGAGTTGTTTATGACTTATGCCAAGATACAAGAAGGAACAATGCTCCCATTTCCTATGGAGATGTACGCAGATCCAGAGTATGTCTGTAAGGTCTCTCTTATAAATCCACAATTAACTCCATAATTGAGGTAATTATGGAACCAATCTAAGTAAATTATCAAGTTTGTAAAATTACATAAATGGGACCTAACCTTTTAAAATTTAAAATGCTATAAAATTATTTAAAATTATTTAAAAAAATAAAATCAGAACAAAATATATATACAAAAGTATGGATATCTTACAAGATAAGATAATATCAAATTAGGTCAACATAGTAAAAAAGGGATTTTGTGACAATTATGCTACAACATAAACTTCAGAATCCATGACAGTAAAAAGTTGTCATGGCAGATTTCTTACTCGGACTTTCGATGTGTATCAAATCTCTGTTTGACGTTTGATTGATGTGATCTATGTATCTATAGAAAGC